GATAATGGGTCTTCACGTGATGGTGGGTGGGGATGTCTTGGGGTTTAAAACCCCCATAAATAAAGGGGGCCAAGGTTTGGACAACACTGTTCTACTGGGTGCTCTCATTTTAAACATTATGGGTTATAGCCATGTCTTTAAATACTATAGAAAATTAAACAAATAATTAGTTAAATGCAGTTAGGATTAGATGCCTTTCCTTTGTAGATGTCAGGTTATTTTAACTTTGAAAGAACAATATGGAGAGCTAGAGTTTTACTATTCAAGTAGCTGCACAGGTTAACTGCATTCCCTCCTCTTATTTCTTCAGAAAGAAATCCCTCAAATGCTTTACTCTGTAGAGTAATAAACAAAATTTATATGGCCCTGAGACACATTTGTTTAAACACAGAGACTCTATCTGAGGATGCAGAAAAATCATGGCCTTATTCCACAAAAATAGATTCTTATCCCTTAGGAAGAAAGAGGCTATTAGGTTCAAGTGATTAACGATAATAAATAACCCCTACGTTAATATACTTCCAAATTTCATATTGCCAACTCCAAAATTCACTCCCATTCTGAACTATGAACTTAGTTCCATAAATCATAGTGTACACAAGTTGCCAGCTAATGTGAACAGCATAGTCAGGACTACAAATATGATTGAGTGCCATTAGATGAAAGGTCAATGCTTCCAGCTCATGGAAAGGAACCTAAAAGCTTCCATGATAGCAGCCTTCTGCAAGAATTCCATTTGCACAGACAAGTTCAAATCTGGTAGAAATGAAGGTACATATATAAGCCAAGCTGCCACAATTCCACTTCATGTTCTGACGTGCTAACTATTAAAATCAGGAACACATGATCAGTGAATTTTAGGCCAGATACAATTATAATGTCCTACACTCAACACATCAGTGTCTTCAGAGGAATCTTGCCCTTTAGGAAAGTTAATTGTGGAACCTGAATGTGTTCTCTCAATTCTTCAGTGTGCAATCCAACTGTGCAAAGAAATCTCTGCATTACATTACATTACAGTAACATTACAGTATTGCTCTTTCAACATTCATTCCGCATATCAATTTGCCTAAGCCTTCTGATTACATGAGATCTTCTTCTACCTCAGTGGTGACAGTGGTGATGATGATGATGTTCCTGGCACAGAAAAGTAACTCATTTTCTCTGGGTGTATCCCTTGCTAGGTCGTCTTAGATGCGACTGATAAGAGAAGCGAAAGTTCATCAAGCAGTTCTGCTCAGGACAGAGTTTCCAAGAAAAACATAGAACTAAAGCAAGTTCCTACCAAGCAGCATCAGGATAATGATCAAGAACAACAGGAACAGGATCAGAAGAGGCATCAAGGCCAACAGCATCATCCTCTGGGAAAAAAGCAACAGCCTGGTGATACTAGCAGCAGCAGTAGTGACCACAGTGACAGCAGCAGCAGCAGTGACAGCAGCAGCAGCGACAGCAGCAGCAGTGATAGCAGTGACAGCACCCAAGATGATAAACATATTAATGGAAGACACCAAAAGGAGAAGGGTGGCAAGACTTATCCAAGCCATGAGAAAGGCAGGAATGAAAAGAAGCAAGCCAAGAGGCCAGCTGTCCACTATGGTGAGAAGGAACCCGTCAATTCTAACTGGAAGAACTCTTTCCCTGAAGTAAGCATTAGCTCAAAACCACTGTTGGCTGGGAGGTGGTTTGTCTCTTCCTTTAGCACCGTGCATTCAAGTAACCCTCGCTTTGCTTTTTTCCTTGGACTTTTTCAGACAGTGCAAGGCCTACAATGGGCAACTCTCACCTTCCAGGAAAGCCAGATCAAGCAGGTGAGTCTCAATATTGTTGTGATTTTCTATTGACCTTTCTTTATATTAACGTAGATTAACTCCAATGCTTGATACTTCCATCCTTCTTTGAAGAAAAGGAATCCACATAAGACATGATTACAGAACACTGGGGGGAGGGTAGCAAAATTAATGTGAAAATAATTTAACTCACACAGATCTATCAGCTAGAGAATGAAGACAAGATTTCCCATATCACAGTCATAAATTACCCAGCCAAGACTGTTTTTTATGACTTACCAGCAAGGTATTTCATATAACTGTCGTTATATTTAAACAACCATATAAGTGGTTTAAATAAATAAATAAATAAGCCAGTCAGTCAGTCAGTCAGTCTACAAGCCTGGGCAGAGCTCTGAAATGGCGCTTTGCTTGTCAGAGCTTCAAGAGAAGTGCTCCTTTGAAGCGAAGAGATACCGGAGTGTGTAGTGGCCTCCCTTCAATCCAACCCTTAAAAAGGAGCCCCTCCCCCATCTAACTAAAATGATGATTGAGTGGTCAAGCATCATGTCATTCTGGTTTCACCCAATGAACACAAGTGGGACTTTTTTTGTGTGGACTGGCTCATAGTGGACATTTGCATTTGTTAATTATAGATTTTAGTATCTGGCCTGGTAATAGAACTCATTTGCAATACTGCTTCATGTATTGCACCCAGGCTTCCAAACCATATGAGTGTTTCTGCATGGTTCTCATCTGATTTGTGTGAGGCAAGCAGTACTAAGTGTCCTGGGCTCCACAATCACTCCACAGAACATTAATACTTCAAACCATACACGTTCCTTTGGTGTAGATAAAATTAGCACAGCTTCATAGGGACCCCCAGAATTGTGTCTTAAATTGTCTTAAGCTTTTGAAAGTACCATTTTTTTCTTTTAGCTTCCTTGAAAGTCCTTCATGTAAAGACCAAAAGTACAAGACTGGAGGTCCAATCCCTAAGACTTAACCCTATATCATTTTAGATGGTGCTTTGGAAATGACAAACCAATGTCAACATAATATCTGATGCCACAAGTACGTAGATATGGCTGCTTTAACTTTTGGTTGCAATTCCCCCCTTCCCCAGTACACACAAGCTTATATCACTGCTGTTTGCAAAGGTATCACAAGCTTCTAATATATTTGAAAAAGGCTTTCAACAACTAGTGCTTAGGACACAGGAACACAAAAATATTTACTCCTCTCTTTTGATAGACCTTCATCACTCCCTTCCGTTCTTGGTATCTTTGTCCTCTGCTGCTCAGTATCTCTAATTCTGTTTAAATGTTGTGTTACATGATGCAAATCAGGAGCAGCCAAGCAGTCCATTATCTTATTCAGAAGCAAGCAGCAAGAATGAGTCCAGCTTGCAACAGGAGGTATGTTTTTAAATGCATCAATGGGAAAGTAAATAAATTGGCATGCCTTTGGAAAGAATCAGTGTTAGGAATCTGGTGTATCAACTGGAATATATATTTTCAGAAAAAAACTAATGAATAATGTGCCAATTGAGATAGTGGCTACTAGGCCATCATACTGATGATCTATTTGATTAGAGAGATGAATGAGGACTGGGGTGACCAAGGTTAAAATTTCCTCTCCACCATGAAATCCCCTAGTAACCTGGTTGCTACTTTGGAAGGAAAGGCAACATGTATATAAATAGATCAGTAAACTTATTAACCTGGGTTCCTTTCTATAAGTACTCCATTATTTTTTAAAAATAAAAATGAATTGAATTGGTATTTCAGCCTCTTGTTCATCCTACATTTTTAAAATATTGGCTCAAATACACAATCTACATCTAGCTTCAGGCTCTCAAATGCAGATGGTAGAGGGCTGCATAAAACCAATTTCAATTTAGAAAAATACTTTAAAAACTTTTTTCACATTCTTAGCCAGAGAATTAGAAAAAACCCAGAACATGCCCTCTTTCTATATGCTAAAAACCATATATATACAGTATACAGTATATCTCCCTACATACACATATACAATATATACATACAGGCACATACATACACATACACACACACATACAAACACCCAACCATCCAATCTTAGGAATGAGCTTAGCGAAAGTCTTGTCTATGAACATACAAATAACAGCTATTGATTTCCAGCCCAATTTAAAGATATCAAACTAAAACTAGCCTGGGTAAACTCTAAATATGCAGACCTCTCAAAAATATAGTTGAATTGAAACGCCAAGGAGTGAAATTATAAAGGTACCTAGAGAACCAAGATCCCTTCTTTTGCTAACAGTAGTAGCCACTTGTCCAAGCTCCTACTCCAGCATCATCTTCTGGTTGGAATATCTAATGAGCAGTTGCAGAAGCCCTACTAAAAAACCGAAACAAGAGAATGATTAAAATCCCTCTTCCTTATCTGCCTCAATGAGTAACTTCTTGCACAATTCACCAAAAGAAATTATTTTGGAATCTTACCTGAGGGCCACTAATCAAAGTATGAATTTAAAAAACACCTTTTTGTTTGTCTACTTAGGCAAAAGCTCCTGGAGAAGTACTTCTGCCATATGTCACTGCTGTGGTTGAAGCAGTTCGGAGTGACAGCAAAAACCAAGGCTATAGAGTTTCCCTATATGGAAAGCCTGAAGTCTACAAAAACCATTTCAAAATGGTTGCAAGTGAAATTAGCCAAACTAAGTGGAGAGCATATCTTGATAGCTTTTTGCTACCTCTCAGATTCAAGGTAAGATTTTTTTTTTAATTTCCAATTTGAAAGTTGCTTTGCAACTAAGCTTCAGTTCCTTACACAATAATAACATATTTTTTAAAAAAAAAAAAAAAAACTCTCACCCCAACCAGAGGCCTGAGAGTTTGAGGGTTCTGTACAGTATCTTAGCTGTTCCTAGCACTGCACTTTTCTGGACAAAGAGCTCGGATGTTGTTCCTGGGATCTGTTGGAGCCACTCTCCTAGCTAAGGAGTCACCGCCCCAAGTGCTCCTACCACCACTGGGACCACTTTGCCTTTTACTTTCCACATTCTTCTTCAGGCCCTGGTACTCCAGCTTCTCATACTCCTTCTTCCTGATGTTCCTGTCACTTGGCACCACTACATCTATCACCACCACTGTCTCCTGGTCCTTGTCTACTATCATGATGTCTGACTAATTGGCCAGTACCTGCCTGTCCATCTGGATCTGGAAGTCCCACAGGATCTTAGCCCTGTTATTTTCCATGGCCTCCCATAGAATCTCCCATCTAGACTTGGGCAGATCTAGCCCATACACTGTGTACACAATGCCAGCAATTTGGTTGTGCCATTCAGTGTATGCTGTTTTTGCCTGCATCTTACACCCTACCATTATATTTGGATTATCTCTGAGGCCTCTCTACACAGTCTGCACCTTGGCTCCAGGGTATCTGATGACTGGCAGGGTGTAGGTGTTGATGGCGTAGATCTTGTTCTTCCCATTGAGCTGACTCTTCAGGACCTGTCTTATCCTTTGGTGATACTTGGATGTTGCTGTCTTCCTTGCCTCCTCCTCATGGTTCCCATGTGACTGTGGGATACCAAGGTACTTGTAGCTGGTCTGCTATGTGGCCCACTAGTAGTTCCACCCCATCAGTCTTAACTACCTTCCCTCTCTTCACTACCATCTGGCCACACTTCTCCAGTCTGAATGACATCCCAATGTCCCCACTGTAGAACTGTGTCAGATAGATCAGCGAGTCAATGTCTCATTCACTCTTAGTATACAGCTTGATGTCATCCATGTGGAGGAGGTAGCTGATAGTCGTTCCACTCTTGAACTTGTACCCATATCCAGTTATTGTGATTATCTGGCTGAAGGGGTTTAAGTCTGTGCAGAAGAGCAGCAGGGACAGTGCATCACCTTGGTATAGGCCGCACTTGATGGCCACTTGTGTGGGCTGTCTTGAGTTGACTTTCAGTGTTGTCCTCCACAGTCTCATTGAGTTTTTGAGGAAGGTCCCTAGTGTCCTGTTGACTTTACATAGCACCAGGCATTCACAGATCCACATGTGTGGCACTGAGTCATAGGCTTTCCTGTAGTCAATCTAGGCTGTGCTCAGTCTAGACCTTGAGTCTTGGGTGACTGCTCTATCTATGAGCAACTGGTGTTTTGAGTCTCTGGTGTTCCCAGTGCTCTTCTGAACTGTGCTCAGGTACTGCCCTATATGGTCCTGTAACTTGGCAGCTATGGTGCCTGATAGGACTTTCCATGTTGTGGGGAGGCAGGTTATTGGCTGG